TAAAACGTAATAAAAGAGGTTCGCTGAAGTGCAAGAGAATCCCACACCAAATGCTCCAAAGGTCTGACTGGGAGGCTAACTAGGGTGTTTTGAAGAGGATTAAGATGTCTTTTTAAAAAACTGCTCATTATTTTCATGACAGTTTTTTAATCTCTAGAAAATGCCCGAAGCTTTAACTGAATCCCAGTTGGAAACTTCCACATCTCCAAATGATGTGCAAGGTCTTAGCAAGAACATGCTCATCACATGGACTGTGGAAATGAATGGCCAGCATTGGCTTAAAGGCCAAGCATAAATTAATGTAAAAAAGGAGAAATGCCAAGGAAGTGACACCAAGAATCTATATGACCAGCAGCAACTGAAGATAGAACAAATGAGCTCAGCAGCTCATGACTCATTTGAGAGTGTGTTAAATGTGAGGCACGGTGGATAACAGGGAGCTAGACATTAAACATGATCAGAAAACAAGGATAATCCCACTGGGGAGAGAAGCAACAAAAGAAGAATACAGTTCTTAAAAACAGCTCTAATAGACCACAGGCCTTGGTGTTAAAGTTATAAGAAAAATCATTCAACCGAGAATTGGGTGGAAGAGGAGAAGGAAGAAATAATCCATCAATCTGTTATAACACTGAGCCATAGCAGGGAGGTGATTTTGGAGGAGTGATCATTTGGCTGAAATAATCAGCAATGGTAAAATTAAATATAAATCTGAAAAGTAATCAATACTATCATTTCAGTTGAAATCATAAACTGTTGGTGCAAGAGCCATAGTGAGGTGTTGCTCAGAACTTGGAAGAGAGGGAAATCAGGTACCCTGACATGAAACAAACAGACAAACAAAGTCACCTTTCAGCCAGGTGCAGTAACACTTGCCTATAATATCAGAGGCTCAGGAGGCTAAGACAGGAGGATTGCAAATTCAAAGCCAGCATCACCAAAAAAGTGAGGCACTTAGCAATTCAGTGAGACCCTGTCTCTAAATAAAATACAAAATAGGGCAGGCGATGTGGCTCAGTGGTCAAGTGCCCCTGAGTTCAATCCCTAGTACCAAAAAAAAAAAAAAAAGAAAGAAAAAAAAATCTTTCAAAGGGCAGACTTATAGACACTACTGACTGCATGATAAAGGGAAAAAAATGTGCCAATCAATCCGAATGGAGTTATTCTCCAGACAAGGTGACACCAATACTGGGGCACAGGCAGGCGTGGGAAAAGGGCGCCCTGAGACAGTGCCCTGTTGGCTACAGTTGCTTTGGTAACGTCATCACTCTCATCCCTTTTGGAAAAGTACATAACAGGCTATTTTAGATGGAAGCCTTTTAAGTATTCAAATACCATCAGAGAGTAACTGGGCAGCCCATGAAAGTTGGCATAAAGGAAAGAATGTATAGCTTAAATCAATATGCGCTGCCCAGTTGAATGAAGGCTGTATTTATCTTTTAAATGGCTAAACTGTCATTATGCTATCATACATCATGAGTTGGGATAATGCAAAATCATCCCTGTGAATTGGACTTTCTTTGGTATGCTGAACATATCTTATTTCTGAGGCTTTTAAACCTAAAAATAAAGACATGGATTCCAACCCAGTAAATTCACCAAAATAATAAATACGGCTTTGGAGGGTAGGAGGAGTGTGTTCTGTGCTATAGATAATTTTTCTTCCTAAGTGGCAACCTCCTGTTAGCACTGAGTGCCTTCCTTCTTCAAATTTAACAGGCAGCAAGTAGAAACCCCTCCATGCACTCCAAGGAAGATAGGTGTTAAGAAGAACCTCTCTCTCTCTCTCTCTCTCTCTCTCTTTAAATTTCTGAGTTTAAGAAAGTATAAACTGTCACGAGCCATCCATGGGTTGGGTGTGGACTATGTTGCTCATCACAGCTTAGTGAAGGGATAAATCTGGCATTGGGAACTTCCTGTAGCACCCTCCCCCCACAGAGATTGCCCACCTGATGCAGGTGAACTTCCTGCTCAAGCTCTGCCCAAAATCCCACACAGCAGCTGAGATGGGTGTGACCTGCCAAGATTTCAATCAACCTGCTGACTATAAGACATCACAAAGTAAGACTCCACCCTTGAAACCTTATCCCTGCCTTTGATGCACCCCTTTAAATAAACCTTTGATCCACCTTTCCTTTGTCTAGTTCAGCACCCATGTGGACTAGATTTATCAAGAGCTTCACTTTTGTTAATATATTTCTATTTGTGTTTTGTTCTTCACTAATTATCTGAGACTTTAAGTTTTAGGGTGGCTTACATCCTCTGGGCAGGAGGAAGACCCCCCCAATAAGACAATGGACATAGCCCCCATTAATAGATAAGCTTTCCAAAGTAATTACTTCCTAGTTGAATCATTCTACCTACAGACAGAGAAATCAATGCACATCTGGATAATGTATGTTTATCCAAATTAATTAGATGTCATGATTTTGAAAGCAAGACTTCCTGCTAAGATCACAGAGACATAAATAAATCATATACCACACACATACCCACAACTAAACTAAAAACTTCAGAAATGCTACATAAAAAGACAACAATATTTTTAATATACATGTCACAGCTAATTCATGAAAAAGCACTTGCTGAAATCTCTGTGCAAAGGTCAGAGGATGACAAAGTACTGGCAACATGAAAAATACACAGAGACTTGAAAGATTCTGTAATGCAAGGGATGACTTGTAATGTTCACAGGTATCACTACACCTTTGCTTAGAAGCGGTGGCCTTTTTTACAATACTAGTGGCAGTGTTGTCCTCTTCTCTAGCCTCTGACTAAGACTTGACTCTTTTCCTTTTGCAATACTTGGTGTTTACTTTCTAACCATCCCATATATGGTTTTTCTTATTGTCAATATCACTTCTAGTCCTTTCCTAAATCCCTTCCAGTGGCTTCTTAAGACAATCACAATTTTCAGATGACATGATGTAGTGCCTGGGAACAATGGGGACAGGGAGGGAATATGGATAAATGAGACTAATATGGGCCTAACACTGTTGGAACCTGGAGAATGGGCACACGGGAGTTAACAGAGCTGTCTGTAATTTTCTACAATGGAAAATTCTAAAACTAAGATGTTCATGAGAGTCATATCATGTACCCTGTGACAATGATGTTGGTGAAATTAGGCTAGTCAGAAGAAATAATATGTTCAATAATATGTTCCTAACTGGCTCAAGTGTAAGTGAAACCTAACCCATAATTCTAAATAGCATCTTGAGGTACCTTACCTAAAGACATGCACAATGATGCCAGGCTCTTTTATAAATACTCTTGACTTATGTCAAAAATAGCAACCATCTAGGCTACTGTAGCTATTTTCACTAGGTTAAAGTTTAGCTGTAAGCTTCTTAGCAATTGAGGTAAAGAGAAAGATACAGCAATAAAATTTATGCTCCAACAAAATAATATACCAAATAGATCTTTCCTGGCATTAAATTCTAATGTGTAAAGACATGTTAGTGTTTTATCATCACACATACGGTGCTATATAACAATAGACAATATCTTACACATGGCTTCACGTGGAGTGCTTCTCATATGGTCAGCCCTTGAATGGATTCTCCCCACACACCCTCAGCTCAGTGAAGCCACAACACCTCTACACTAGGCAGGACATGTGGCTCTTTGATATCAACCATCAGGGTAGAATCTGGACACACTCTTTAGAGGAGCAAATGGAAATCATGCCCATGTTTCTTGAATGGACTTCTCTCATCAGGACTTTTGGTAGTGGTCTAATTTAAATCAATTTAGAATTATACTTGCTGGAATTACAGAAAGGTATGGTTTGGATTTGGGGGTAGGAAGTTTTGAGATAACCTTCAAGTTATATACATCTCTATAATTTTATACATTCAAATGTATATTAAAACTCTAATTGCTAGAGATGTTAAACATTTTTCATACATTTGTTGACCAACTGCATTTCTAGCAATTAGAGAAATGCAAATTAAAACTGCACTGATATTTTACCTCACTCCAATCAGAAGGGCAATTATCAAGATCCAATACAAGTAACAATAAATGTTGGCAAGGATGTGGGGGAAAGGGTACACATAGATTACTGATGGGACTGTGAATTGGTGCAATCACTCTGGAAAGCAGTATGGAGATTCCTCAAAAAAACTAGGATTAGAACCACCATATGACCCAGTTATATCATTCCTCAGTATATAGCCAAAGGAATTAAAATCAGCATACTACAGTGACAGAACCATATCAATGTTCATAGCAGCTCAATTCACAATAGCTAAGTTATAGAACCAACCTAGGTGTCCTTCAACAGAAATATGGATAAAGAAATTGTGGTATAAAGAAATGTGGTATATACACAATGGAATACTACTCAGCCATAAAGAAGAATGACTTTATGACATTTGCCAGTAAATGAATGGATCTGGAGACACTCAAGCTAAGTGAAATAAACCAAGCCTCCAAAACCAAAGATTGAATGTTCCCTGATGTGGTTGCTAACCCATAACAAGGTTAGGGGAACAGAAGTTAATTGGACTACTAGGAAAAAGGGGAATGAAAGGAAGAGAGGGGAATAAGAATAGTAAAGACAGTGGAATGAATCTGACATAACTTTCCTATGGATATATATGAATATACCACAGTGAATCAACATCGTGTACATCCACAAAACTAGGACCCTGGTTAGAAAAGAATATACTCCATGGTTGTATAAATATGTCAAAATAGTTTCGACTGTCATATGTGACTAAAAAGAACAAATTTTTAAAAACCTATCTCACTATGATAATTGAAACGAAAGGAGGTCAGGGACAAGGGGGTCAGGAGGCCTAAGTTCCAGTTATCTCTACTAGATACACAGCCTTGGGAAAGTGACAAACAACTCTTCTTAGTTTTACTTCTTCTTCAAAAAATTAGATTACTCAACTAAAAGTTTTGGTGACTTTGAGGCACTAATGATCCTGCTCATTTTTATAAATGTAAAAAAAATTCAGGTGTTATTTAGTCACTAAATTTTATCTCACCAGGATTATATCTGGATCACTGTCGCTGGTCTGAATTTCACTCAACACCTTACATTCCTGTGTGAGGTTGAGACTCTGTTTCCTTTTCATTTCCCCGGAAGAGGCCTATTGTAAAGTATTAACAGAAAAAAGTACAAAGATTAGGATCAAGCAATGACACATTAAACCACCTTCACTCATGATTCATGACATCCCTCGGATATACAACAGAGACTCAATTTCTGATCTTTGTCCTTAAAATGTATATAATTTAAAAAAACACATGTAAAGTTCACTAACAATACACAATAAAAAAGAATGTCACAAGGCAAATCAGGTAAATATGAGTCACACAGACCATAGAGCTCAAAAGTGAATCAAAGTTGCTACAGTATTTTGCCAAGGCCTGCATGAATACACTGAATAACATCTTGTGTGGATGTACATTGTTTTTCAAACTTAGGTAGATGTTGCTAAGACAAATGAGATAGGCATTTATTTAAAAGTATCTACGATAGTTTTCTCTGACTAGATATAGCTATTAATCAATGGTTACTATCACATGGAATGTCTGTAGTCATTGTGTGACACTGAAAAAGTATTTTCATACTTGAAAAGGTTGAAAACTTATGATGCAGGTAAAGGTCTCCCTTAATTAGAATGGCTAGAGGTTGACTCTCAGCTTCTTGGGGTGGGGTGGGGGGATGTGTTTGATTAATATCTGAGTCTTCAGCACCTGGTTCAGAGAAAATGATTAATATGTTTGTTGAGTGAAGGGAACTTACAAACAGCCTTGGGGAAAAATTCGGAGGAATTACAAGGTGCAGATATAGGAAACAATAAGCATATTATTTTTATTGAAAGTTCTATTTTCATGAAATAGGGAGAAAGTCATTTCAGATAAATAAAGTGGAACCTTCTGAGAAAAGCAAGGGTGTGATAAAAACAATCCTCCAGGAAGAACAATAAGCTAATTAATGACTTGTCTTTTTTTCTGTATTTTTACTGGTACATTATAATTATACATAATTGCAGGATTCGTTGTTACATTTTTGCCCATGCACATGAATGACTCCTCTTAATAGACCTGAACTGTAATACATAAAAGCCCAAATATTAACTAATTCCAGAATCATTTTTATCAAACTTTTGAAGCACTTGGCAAGATTTACTTGGAGCACATATGTCTTCCTAATGCCATGCTGCTTAGACTCATACAGGAATTAAGTTTCATTTCCTGCACCTCCTCTGTCTGTTAGGGGCAATACCTAGTGTGTTTATTGGACAGGAGATGAGCAAGTAATCCTCAAATAATCCAAAATTGCTTCAATTGCAGTTTAACCTGATAAAATTAGCATAAGTACTTATAAAGAATTTCATGGCCTCCTTATTTGTCCACCTCACTGCTTGATTTTCATAAGTATAGACTGTCTTCTGAAGTGACATCGGCTTACCTTCCCAAGAATTGATATGCAAACAGTTTCTTCATCTCCCATTTACTAATCAATGCTCTCTAATCTGGTTTCCAACCTCTTCATCAACAACAATTTTTTCCTGAAATCATTCTTATTGCTTCTAAGTCATTAAGCCAAACAGCCCTGGTCTTTGGCCAGCTGAGTTGGTTCTCGAAAGGATTTAGCCCATTGGACCACCTCTCCTTGAACGATTTTTCCCCTCTTGGCTTCAATGATATAACAAATTCCTAATTCCTTTACTGCTCAGGTGATTCCCCCAAAACCATCTGCGCACAACTGTCCCCCAGTCCCCAAGTTTCTGACTAGTCCTTCTTTCTTCTTCCCCTTCAACCCTGCTCACACGCAGATACTTGTGTATCTGAGTACCTTATAAGTTCAGGCCTTCTAGTAAAACCTCAGCTCTGACATCCAGATTCAAATATGTGACGTCTCAAACCGTGTAAGCTGAATTCATGCTCCTGTCTACAAGCCTTCAAGGATCCCTATTTTGATGGATGTGATTACTACCCAAGCAGGTCAAAGAGCTAAAAAAAATCTGTGATCATTCCTGCCGTATTCCTCTGCTTCACCTTCTATACCCAATGTATCACCAAGATGGGGGGCAGTGTAACCCACCACCATTGTTTTAGTCAGCTTTTTCACTGCTGTGACTGAAAGATCTGATCAGAACAATTGTAGAGGAGGAAAAGTTCATTTGAGGGCTCATAGTTTCAGAGGTCTCAGTCCATAGACAGCTGGCTCCATTCCTCAGAGCCCAAAATGAGGCAGGACATCATGGTGGAAGAAATTGATAGAGGGAAGGAGCTCACATAATGATCAGGAAGCAGAGAGAGACTCACCAGACACAAATTTATATACATCAAGGGCACACCAACCAGGGACCACCTCTTCTAGTCACAACCTATCTGCCTTTAGTTACCACTCAGTTAATCCCCATCAGGGTATTAATTCACCAATTGGATTAAGGCTCTTATAATCCAGTCACTTGTCCTCTAAACCTTCTTGCATTGTCTCACCCACGAGCTTTTCGGGGAACATTTCACATACAAAGCATAACAACCATCGTCCTAGGCTGTGCTACCTTTATTTCTCTATTAAAGCCTCCTAGCTGCTCTGCCCTAATGACTCTTATTAAGCATAAATTTTAAGCAGAATACCATGCACTGGTTGTCAATCTCTTGCGAGTACTCTAAACACTTTCCATTTTGGAATTTCCAAAGGAAACAATGCAGTCAAGTTCTAGATGGAAAAAAAATGTCTTACTCACGGAGAAAGAAGAGAGCAAAATTAGCTTCAGTAGTGTGCATCATTCCCCTGTGCCAGTAGGAACCCTGGTAGCCAAGGCAGGGAAATTGCCTACACAAATTCCTTTCTTGCTGCAGTAGCCCCTTCTCCTCCCCAAGAAAGACAAATGTAGTAGTGGGGTTGATCTTGTGAAACAAACACTTAAACAGAGAGCATACATTGGGCTTGCAACAGAGAAGGATATTCCCACACAAGGAGATAAGACTAGAGCACACTGTGTGGGCTCTTTATCTCTTGGTAAGGAAATGCCCCAGGCTTAAGGTCCATTATTAGGTGGCCAAGCAGGGGTCAAAAGACTGCATGGCATGAGAGTGTTTTTCTCAACACCTCTGCTCTCTAATAACCTTACTTCCTAACTGAGCCAAAGCAAACTTTTCTAAAGGAAAATATGGTCACACCACTCCCCTGCATGAAGCTTCCCCATGGCCTCCCACTGCTTTGGGAATCGATGCAAATCTTCTTTCTCAAGGCCCACAGGACTTGTATGGTTTCAGTTATTCCCTACACATCCCCTTTCCATCTCTCTGTCCTGCCACTGCATGTCTTAACACTTGGTATTCATCATGGTGTCCCTCTTTAACAAATGCTGTTTGCATTGTTTGGAAATGTTCTTCCTCTTTTGATACCAATTTAATTGGAATTCAATCCTAAAATCTTAGGAATCAATTTTTTTTTTCTTTTCTGGGAAGCTATCACTCTCCTGTCAGATACAGTTGAATCCCCCATTATTAGCACTTGTGCTATTGTGTCCTAAAAACTGCCACAAATAGGTATGGTGGCACATGCCTCTAGTCCCAGCTACTTGGGAGGCTGAGGTAAGAGGATCACTTGAGCCCAGCAGTTTGAGGCCAGGCTGGGACTTTATCTTGGGGGAGGTTAGTGGTGGGGGGGCGGGGATTCTGCTGCCACAGTTGCAATTTACATTTGTAATTCAAATAATTACTGAATTATTTGTCTTTATCATCAGACTGTGTTTGATGAGAGTCAGAACTATATGTGGCTTTGTTTACAGTTGAATCCCCTTCCAAGGTGATACACTGAGTAGAACATAATAACATCACATGTGTGTATAAATAAATACATAAAGGTACACAAAGTGTGTATATAAATATACATGTATATACACTGTGGAAATGTATTTACTTTGTGTAGTTTTACATATGTGTATATATATATATATATACACACACATACTAGACTAAGTTAATCCCTCTATCTAAAGTCCAAAGTGTGTTGTTTTAATACTTGGGCAAACTCTCTACTTCTCAATCTATTATGTGTTTTTAAAACATACAACATGTATACAAAATAAGCTCCCAAATACAAAGATCTTGAAATGCACAGCTAATGAGTTTTTCTGGAATTCAAGGTTAAAGGAGATACGATTAAACCACCTTTTCTATTATAAACATGCAGTACTTTGAACACAGCAAGGACTGAGTAAATACCTACTGACTGTATGAACCCACATATTCAAATATGACAGATAATTCAGAGTCACAGAAAAAATAAAATTCTATAGATAAACAAGTTCAGCTTGGCTCCTATAGTTTCAAGAAAGATGAAGGACCAAAAATTCCAAATTACAGGGAAATGGATTTCAAATATTTTAAGAGGATGAGCTACTCAAAAAGAGAATAAGAAAAGACTTCTTCAGGGGGTAAAGATTTTCACTAAAGATTTTCAAAAAGAGTCTGAACACTATTTGCCAAAAGACAGAACAAAGGAATGTGTGAGATAGTAAAGTAACTATTGTTCAAAAATAATTCCTTTTGAAAGAACCATGCCCAAAATATCTTGTCTCCCACCGTGCTTAATGCTGTGTCTACCCAGGGCAGAAGCTCAGTAGATATTTTCTTATCAGATAAATTTACACTGTTTTCAGAGAGCCTACCGCAATTTGTGTGAACCTATGGCAATTCATGTATCTGCCATGGTGGCCCATAGCTGCCCTTTATGGGTGAATTTAAATTCTGGAAATAGTTAAAAGGCATTAGAAGCCAAAAATGATAAACAAGGTAGATAACCTAGACAATAAATTTTGGCTTATGAAAGATACAAAATGAAAATGAGTAAGATAATGTTTATAATCTTTCAGCACTGAAAGATCACAGGGTAAATGCCTATTTGATTGTAGGCATTATTATTATTATAAACAGAATCTTAGGGGAAATTCTCAAAAATGAATTAAATAATAGTAACATTGTAAGAATGAATGTATTGTGATTATTCTAAAAGAAACAAGCTCATGTGAAAACAGAGGAATTCTGGGGAGGTACAATTGTTAAAATCAGTAGCAACACAGTTGTAAATTGACCTTATATCCCTCTCTCCCTCCCTCCCTTCCCCCTCCCTCCTTTCCTCTCTTCCCTCCCTCCCTCCCTCCCTCCCTACTTTTCCCTCCCTCCTTCCCTCCCTTCCTTCCTTCCTACCTTCCTTCCTTTCAGATTGAACTCAGGGGCATTCTACCACAGAGCTGCATTCCAGCTCTTTGAAAAATTTTTGATACAGAGTCTCTCTGGGTTGCCCAGGTTGGCCTCAAACCTGTAATCCTCCTTCCTCAGTTCTTCAAGTTGCTGGGATTATAGGTACATGCTATTGTACCTGGTAATACTGCATTTCCTAGAATCTAGACTACAGGAGTAACAACCTATATGTTTTAGCTAAGCATTTTTCCTATAATGTTTTGAATGCAAAATCCTAAAACTTAAGGTTTGTTCTATATGAATATTTCTTTCTTAAATAGAGATCTATAATCCTTTGCCCACCCAGGCATTCTTTGGGGGCCTCCACTTGGCTGAGTTCTCCAGACACTGTGCTGATATTAACAACCTGACTTTTCTCCCAAAACAGAAAATACAGAAGGGAAAAAAATAGAAATTGGGACCCTGTCCAGAAATCACAGATTGCAATGTATATCCTATAATTAGAGTGCTTTAAAAAAATGTGAAAATGAAGCAAAAACCTTTAGCTAATGCTATTTCCAGAACAAGTGAATTGTTATCCATTTTATGAATAAGAAAAAAGAAAAAAATACCTGAGGTCTCTCAGCTAATTGGATGTTTTCTGGCACCATATGTCTCTGCTGTAGGGGTTTCATCTTCTTTTGCACAGACTTTTTCATAATTTTATAATCCGAAACATACTCTACATCAGAGTCTGTATGTTCTGTGTTTCTTTTTTGGCTTCTTTGACCGACTGAAAGCTCAATGGGTGAAAGAGATTCATGCTTCAAATCAACACCTGAAGGTCTGATTTTCTGAGTTTTGGTATTTTCCTTGAAGAACAAAAAGCATGTTTTTATTTTTTTGGTAGCCAGCTTCTTTATAATCAATTGCCATTTCCCTAATATTACAGTAGGTGATATTTCTTGTGGCTAACAAAACATTTAAAAATCAAAGGCTTAGTCAACTTTAGCAGGTGTACACTGCTGTAATAACTCATTAAGAATTTGATTCAGAAATAGCTGCAGAGCAGGGCTGAACCAAGAGGTCTGATTTTGAGGCTGCAGAAGACCTCTGATTGAGAGCATACTACATTCTGTCTTTCTCCCACAAAGATTTACTTGTTGTTGGCTCCCTGGTGCATGCAAGACGGTCCCCATCCCTGTTCCATCTCACATCCTGCTTCTTGCACCTTCCTGGCTGTGGCTTCAACCAATGGAGGACACACTTGCTGAGAGAACTAGTCTATATGTGCCTGCTCCTGAGAGTTTGTTCTCTCCTATAAGAAGCCAAAAGTAACGAGTAGAAGACTAAAGAGTGTAGCACGAGGGACACTGTAGAGTTTCTAAGCGTATCATTACCCACTACTGCTCAGTGAACCCTCTCCTCAACATTGGGAGGGCTCAAGTAAGTGTTCAGCTCTTATTTTCCTTCATATAAACCACCCACACTTAGTAAAGTCGCATTACAGTTGTATATACTACTTTGTTTATATTTAGGTAAAATCTTAAGGCATGAGAGTATATTATTATTGTAGGTTTTTATTAATATTTTGCCAACACATTAGGAACTTATTTCTCATGGCCAGTCACTGGCAAATGATTTTTCCTGTTCTCCACTTCAGGAAAATCCTGTTCCTGATCTAACTCTCAGACTATGATGATAATTTAGTATAAGTAAAGTCAGTAGATTCTGAGCCTGGTTGTGCAATTTAGCTATGTAGTGATTTTAAGAAAATTCCTATAAGAGGAACTGTATTGTGAGTTTGTATTAAAACACTCTATCAGTTCCTGACTCCTTGATACAGAAGCAGAAGAAGCAAATAAAGAAAACAGAAAGAAAAAAAAAAAGACACTCTGCAACAAGTTTCCAGTTTTTAACTTGAATAGTGAAGAAAACAAAGACATAAATATTTACATATATCTATCTATCTATCTATTTAAAGGTTGGCTGGGGCTTCTCAATCTCATCACCTGCCTGTTTAGAAGTATTAATAATTAAAATTGCAAAGAGTTTTTTTGTATATTTGTGTGTGTGTGTGGCTGATAAGACTAAGAGGCTCTAAGACTTTATAAATATTTTTCTTAAAGAAGCTCTAAGGTTCAAAACGTTCTCTGAATTTTAAATTTTAGATAATAGACATTTGAGAAATATGATACTATATGACATTTATCAAATACAAGAAAGAATGTAGGAATTGTATATACAATATATACAACAAATTTCTAAACAAATGTACATCCATGGACTGAATCTCTCTCTCTTCTCCTCCTCCCTCCCCCATCTCTCTCTCTCTCTCTCTCTCTCTCTCTCCCACATGCACACGTACACACACAATCTTGGAAAGAAATACATTAAAATATTTTAAATGGTCATCATGCTCAGGCAGTAAAATTATTGGTGACTTAAATTTTGTTTATGTTTTATTTTGTAAGTTTCTCCTAATAAACAGATATCAATCTTTAAAAAAAACACAAACAATGGCATTAAATCTAAGTGCTTCACTCTCTGAATCTCATATAACATTTGGCCCTTGATAAGACTCATCTTTCACATGGAAAATATGACAAAAAGTGGCTCTCACCTACTTTAAGTACTCACCTTAAGTGTTGAAGTAAGGCAGGTGGGAGTGAACTCAGCAATCCTACTCGCTGGTATAAATCTAAGCTTTTATGGGGGAAAAATCAATAAGACAGATTTAAATAAAAATAACTTTCAATTGGCTTATTATAGTAATTCAGTATTTCTTATTTGTGAAAGAAGTGTCAAGATACACACCCCACGTGTAACACTTTAGATGTACTGCAACGCTGTCCTGATTAGTAATGACTATTATAAAACAATCAGATGGTTTGTTCAAACATTGAAGGTTAAATGTCTTGTGAGTAACTTTGGGGTGTCTGTGTGATACTCTCCCTCTGTCCAGCCTCTGCATCCCTTGTCTTCCCTTTGTTGAGGCCCTCTGTTCCCCACCTGTAGGACCCAGGGTCTGTAGTGACTCCTGACCTCTGACAGCGGCTCTCTCTGGCTCAGAGATCTGGATCTGAGATTCAATGGACTCCGAGGGTAAACTCACTCTACCTGTTTTCCTACTAACAGAAATGCTGCTGTATCTTCAGCATCCATTGTTAGCCCTGTACTCTGAAGCACAGCGAGGGAACAGGCAGGTAGTTGCCCTCTCCAAAAAAGGAACTCCCTTTAAATATTTGGATGTGATCAAGATCGTTTAGGAGTAGTGCAGACCCTGCCCTCTGGGCCCAGGTCTTCTGCTCTTGTGAGATTCTAGTTAGGTGTCTGCTTGTACTTCCTTTCTGACATGCCCCTTGTCCTTTCCTGGGCCACAAACTTCATCGTGGTGTCCAGCTCCATGTCCGGATTCTCCAGGAGAGACCATTTACCTCACTCTTGTAAGTACCTTACCTCATAAATTGGAGTCCCAGTTCTAATTAAGATTTGGATATGCTCTGTTGAAAAATTTTCTGATGCAGTTTGCCTGTATAGATTTTGAAATAGTGTCTTTTTCTGTGTTCTTAGATTCAAATGCCTCTAAGTGGTACCTTACACCTGCAGGTAGCTTCAAGGCAATACTTCCAAACTGAATTCATTATATCACCTCTGCATATGCACTCACCCCAATCAGTACTTCCTAATTTGACTTCCCTCTCGATTAACAGCATCACCAAACACTGAGACAACCACACTAGAGGCCCCAGTTTGTCTTGGTTCATCAAGACAACACCCCATACCTAATCAGTGAATTTCTGCACTTAAGTCTTTTATAAATTCAAAATCTTTCAGTAACCTCAAGTCAACACCCTTTCTAAAGGCCTATCCCCTCTTTTCCTGCTTCCAGTTCAGTGATTTCTCTAGCCCCATGCCACAACCATTTTATATACCATGTTATTCCTTTCATTAAAATAAAGAGGATGAGAGAGAAGATGGAGAATGGCAGAGAAGAGCAACATTCTCAAAATTGGATGCATATTATTAGAATCAACTGATACGCCTTTAAAAAAGAAAAACGATGCCATGTCCTTACAATCAGAAACTTTCATTTAATTATGTGGGGTGGGGCCTGGCTTAGTCCTTTCACATGTTCTCCAAAGGATTCTAATGTACAGTTGGGATGGAGTACCACAAGTCTGGAGGGTAGAGACTCACTCTATGGTACAAGGAATGGCATACACAGTCAGTGCAGGGTTACTGAGTGGAACTAACAGCACCTGGCACAACACACGAACTGTTTTCAAACAGTTGCAGGTGGGCTTTTGAAATCCTCTTCTGAATCATCCCCCACCCACCTCCACCAAGTTGCCCTCATGCACTGAAGGCCCAATTACATTTTTACAGCCCACTTTCATGCTGTCCTGCTTCTGAATAATCCATTTCCTCGTCCTGGGATGGCCTTAGCAAGCCTGTCCTTTTGTCAAATTCCACTCGCCCTTTCAATCTCAGTTTAAAAATTATCCACACCAAATACTTACCCCAATTGCCCAATTAACTGTTTATCATCTATGCCCTCATGCCATTGTTCCTTTTTAGATGTTTATGTAGATAACATATTTACATTGGGACAACATACATTTTAAAAGTACATTAAAAAGAAATTTCCTTACCACTGTGTTTTGCATTTACCCAGCTCATAGTCCACCAACACATAACCACTGCTACCACTTTCTAGTTTATCTTTCCAGAGATTTGTTTATACATTATATACTTATATGTGTACTTACATGTAAATTTCCCCATTTTGGGGGTAGGGAAAAATTATAGTGTATTATGTACACAGTCCACACCCTACTTTTTCACTTAAAGATATTTCCTAGCATTCTTTCTCTTTTAGTACTTATAGAGCTTCTTCATCCCTTTGTTATGGTTTAGATATAAGGTGTCCTCCCAAAACTCAAGTGTGAGACAATGCAAGAGAGTCAGAGGTGAAATGATTGGGCTATGAGAGCCTTAACACAATCAGTGAACTAATCCACTTGAATGGATTAGCTGGGTGGTAATGATAGATTACATTTTCCTTTTTTTATTTTTCCTAATGACTATACATTTTTATTCCACTGTCTGATCAGATAATATGATACTTCTCAGTGTTTACTAGTACTAAAACTTATGTTTAAGTGGTCTAAATGAGAACCTTTAAGTTATAAAACCCAAATGGATTTAGCACAAAGCCCAGATATTAGTAGTAAAAACATATTTGCATACTTAACTAAATAATGCAGCAGAATGGAAGACAACAGACCAAAGCAAAATACAAAAAAAAAAAAAGTTTTTTTTTAATTGAAACACCTTCTGTTGACATAGGACATAGGAATACATATATAATTAGTGCACTAAAATAAATTTGCATGTTAAGTGTAGTATATGAAGTTGACCTTAATAAAAAAAAAGTTAAAAAGTTTACCTAAAAATTTGTTCTTTGATTCCAATTAGAAATGGAGTTTTCATCTAAATATATTTCTGCTAATAGATGATGATATTCAGCATTGGTTTGGGGGTTGGCCTATAATTTTTAACGTGCAGTTTTTTTTTTAAAATCACATTTTTAAATTTGAGGAATACATTTTTACATCTTTGATTGCATTTTGCAAAATAGAAATCTGTCAACAGTTAATCTACTTCAAATTCTGTCTCAGTTACTTAATGAGTAGCTGTTTACTAATGATAGTGTCTTTTTTTATCATCATCATCATCTTTTCAAATATCAAAAAAGAATAATTACCCTGGAAATTTTGCAAATATCACTGTTATTTTTAAATGACTGTCATAAACTCTTTCGACAAAACTATTATATTTCTTTACAGGTTCAAAAAGACCTGTAAATCTCAAACTGAATCAGTGAAAGCTGCATAAAATGAACTGTCTCTGGAGCAGGAAAAACTGAGGAATCCTTTAGCCAGGAATGAAAGGGAAATATCTGTGGTGAACGATTTAGAGAAAGAGGCAGAAATCCGGATTTTGAAATTGCAGCTCTAGAGATCTTTGTTCAGTCCATGTGGTGTAGATCCAGGAATCTGCTTTTCTACAAACATGTGAAGTTGTTCTTAAACAGATGGTCCAATAATCTTAGATTCACAGCCTTGGAGATTCTCCTTTCTAATTCTACACCCATGCTGTGTGGGACTATAGAGAGAATACTTCTGTGTTTCTGCAGTTAGTACTTTCTGATTCCATTTTACTGAACTTGAGACCTGGGCTAAAAGGAATGGATCCTGGAACTTAATGTATGACTGATTATCAGTGAGACAGCACCTGGGGGACTTCCCTGGGGACAGTGGTCTCTGGAGGGTGTGCTTACATTCTAAGGGAGGGATAGGATCTGGGACCATAGAGATGCACCTTTGCTGTAAAGCTGCAGAAGCTGGTCTTATCTCACCCTGGAAAAACTTATTTTTACTCCATATAATAAGAGTAAAAGCCCAGGCTCCTTCCAAAGAGCAAAATAGTGTGAGGACTGCCACTGTCCTATATAAATGCCCAGATTCAATTTTCTTTCTCTTTCAGAATTCCTTGCCTATAATACAAACTCCAGTGCATATGCAGGAGAACATCTGGTTTTACTTCCATGCATCCTTCACCCTAGAGGTAAGAACTAGAGTAAAGGGGAATCCACATAATTGTGTACTATAATTAAATAACAATCTGCCCTCCTCCATTATTCTCACATTTGCATTCAAAATAATACTAATAACCATAGATATTTTTAAAATAATAGCTTAGGATAGGAGATGTGCAACCAGTGCTCATAGGTTCTAAAATTTGGGTGGGTCCTTGCAAGTGTCTAGCCTAATCCTCTTTTTTCTACAGAGCTGGGGGTGGGGGTGATTTAATGATGGAGGACTAGACACATTAGACAGACCTGAGGTCACTCAACTTATACACTACACAGTCAGGACCTGAAACCAGGTACCCTGACACCAGGCCAGTGCTGTCACTGCCTCCTGCTACTTCTTCCTCCTTCAACGAGCTCCTGAGCATCACTCCTTCTGCACAGCTTTCCAAAGTGACCACTCTGCTCTCCAAATCTGCCTACTATTCACAGAGCTCCTCAAAAAAAAAAAAAAAAAAAAAATCTTTATATCTAATTATAAATATATATATATATATATATATATAATTAGTATTAGCTGTTTTCAATTTTCCCTACCCAGAAAAAGTATCAATCTGAAGTGAACAAAGAAGAACACAGTAGTTTAAACAGCTGCGAATTAAAATTAATCATATGTGTAAAATCTACTTTTATTCCTAGTTGTTTATGTGACCTTATCCAGAGAGGAAATAGAGTTTAGTGCAGGAGGGCTGGGTCTGGAGTCAGAGTGCACTTGTTGAAATCAGGGCTCTGCAGTTCCTAACTCTATCTTTGGCAAATTACTTCCCTGTGTCTCAGCTTCCTCATTTATAAAACAGGAATCAAACAACCATAGGACCATCATCAGGATTAAATAAGTCAGTACATTTAGAGCACCTTTTACAGGGTCACATTCTAAGTGCTAGTATTTAATGCTTCCATTCAGCCTTCTCATTTAAGCTCCTCCATCTATGTGACATGTCGAGTGATAATAATCATTCAGGTAGTTTTAAAATTCACCAAAAATATACAGAATTATGGAAATCTTGAGGGAGAAACTGGAAAGAAGAAAGGGAATTAGAATTACGATAAGTCTTTGCTTTGTACATTAAAATACCCCATGGCAATCAAATTGTATTGCATATTTAGAAACAAATGGCAGATGCAACATGAAGCAAATGAAGCTAAACTTCAGTACCCCTCCCCTAGACGAACTTCTTTCATGATCCTAGCACAACTTTGTATTTATAATGCTATGTTTTCTTTTTTTTAAAATAGTGGTCCCCAATATGATATAAAAGCCTACAAAAACCAGACTTAGATTTGCCCTGGTTCTGAAGTATTTTAAACAATACTTAGTTATCTTAAAATGCTAGGAATTATTAACAGTGGTCTTAGCTCATATCTAGAGGGCCTTCTTGAGATTCTACTGAACAGGAGAAAGATGATTCTAGACCACTGTAGAACAAAGGTCATGGACGAACACTGGCCTATTCTCTAGGGGTATATGAAAACCTCTCATTTGTCCGCAGTCTTCCCACCTGCATAGGAGGCTGGAGCTGGTCAGGGAAGACCAGCCAAAGGAACGGGAGTCTTAAAGACACATCGGCAAGATTCAAGGTGGAAAACAGGACCTGAGTTTTGAATTTCACTTAGTCCTATAGAGTTGGGCCAGAGGAAGGAACCATAAATTACCAGGAGACAAAGATTTAACAATGGTAAATCAGGGATGTGATGAAAGGGGTTTAAGTTCAAAACTGAAACAGAAACCATGAAGTCCACTTTCCTGAAATGAATTCAAAATGCAAAACTGGGTCCTGAGTAAGAGGAGAAATTAGGACAAACAAGATTCAAGCTCAGAGTGGGAGGACATAGGCATGCTGGGGAGTAGCTTGCTTTAGAAGGAAGCCAAATACCTGTATTTTACTCAGCAGTCAGAAAACAGGCCCTGAAGTATATCCAGGATACCAGGGAGCCTGAGATTCCTTGCTTGGCATGCACACTCGCTGAGAATTGGTTGGACACATAGTTCAGGTGCTCAAGGAGTTTTTGTGGAGCAGAGATCAAACAGGCGTATTTGCATTAAAATCCAAATCAATATTCTCTCCAGTGAAAACAATTTCAGGCAACATACCGGAACCTCTCTCCCCCTCTCTGTCTCTGTTGATGTGAGCAGGAATGTGAGGCATGCAGACAGGGATGTATTGTGGCATGACTGCTGGCCCCTGTCAAAGCTGTTTCTGACCTTCTCAGAAAAAGGCTGTGTCCCCTCTGGACTCAGACTCATTTTGGCCTTGAGCAGCAGTGTTTAGTCACTTCCATGAAAGGCAGGAGCAGACAGTGAACAGTATTCCTCAGTCCCCATCTCCAGGAAAAAAAGATGACTTATGAAACCAGAGACAGAATATCTTGGGCTCCCTGAACCACACCATGCCACAAAAGCCAGGCTGCTATGATGTCACACTAACACTGGGGCTGTCTGGGTTTCTTTTAGTGAACTAAAAATGTTCTTTTGTCAAGGAAGTGTGACATCAACTACTTGAGAAGGGATGAGTAAGAAAGAATTTAGACAAGCAATTTGAACTGAGAAGTGGAACAGCTTCTGCTAGGTACTTACTTGCCCAGCGCGGAGCCAGATGTGGTGGTGGTGGGAAGCACAGAGAAGAGGAGCAGCACCTGATGCTTGCCTTCGGGGGACTTCTGGACTCGTTAATCATCATCAATTCTTTTACCATCTCATCTGGTATGCCGTGAACCCAGGGCCCACAAGTGTGAACACATGAGGCATTATCCCTCTTGGGAAAGCAATGCATCACCATAGAGGAATGAGATCTTTGTAGCAAAAGTAATAAAGTGAAATATTTCAACTACAATGAGTATAATAGCCTGTTGCAAGACAAGGGTCTTCCTCATTGTTATACAAAATTTCATATAAGAGGTTGTGAGGGGAATGGGAAAATAAACAAGGAGAGAAATGAATTACAGTAGATGGGGTAGAGAGAGAAGATGGGAGGGGAGGGGAGGGGGGATAGTAGAGGATAGGAAAGGTAGCAGAATACAACAGTTACTAATATGGCATTATGTAAAAATGTGGATGTGTAACCGATGTGATTCTGCAATCTGTATTTGGGGTAAAAATGGGAGTTCATAACCCACTTGAATCTAATGTATGAAATATGATATGTCAAGAGCTTTGTAATGTTTTGAACAACCAATAAAAAAAAAGACAAGGGTCTTTTGGTGTCATAAATTTTAGATCATGGCAGTTTATGTAAGGAGGATGAAAAGTACTCTGGATGAATAAATATGTTTTCAAAGGCATCTGTCACTATAGTTACACAGATCGGAGATCTCGGCATCCTGCACAATAATGACGCATTAAAAAGATTAAACTCTAAAATGGAAAAATGTATTCACATTCTTCATTACAAAGTTGTACTCAATATGCAATTTCAATTTGAAACACACAGCTAAAAGTTCAGCAAGCCACCTTTGCTCTACATTTTACTGCTAAAACAACCGACATGGGAATTGCTAGATTATACCATTTCATTTTTCTTTTTGTGAGTCCATATAAGCACTGTAAAAGAATCAGACGCTATTGCTGAAGTTCCTTTTCCATAGGCATGGGATTTTATGAGGGATATTCATTTGGTGGGAAGGCTGGGAACATAACAAATGAAATCCAAATTCAGCCTCTGTAATCCCAAACATAACTCTTTTATTGTGAACAAATGTAAGAACATTTTAGTTTCCAATAATATATGCAAAAGTCAGTAAGTTTCAACCTATAGTCAGCCAATCTGATCAAATAAAAATTGTTTGTCTTGTGAAGCCAATTTTTTATGAACCAAATTATTCCTTCCACCCTTCATTCATTGTTTGGTCAATCGTATTACATGAAAAATCCTGGCCTATGTTCTGATGAGAATACCCAGATGAATAAAAAATCATTCTTGTCAGGCACAGTAGCACACATCCATAATCCCAGTGGCTCGGGAGTTTAAGGCAGGAGGATCTCAGTTCAAAGCCAGCCTCAGCAAAAGTGAGGCACTAAGCAACTCAGTGAGACCCTGTCTCTAAATAAAATACAAAATAGGGCTGGGGATGTGGTTCAGTGACCCAGTGTCGCTGAGTTCAATCCTCAGTACACCACCCCCCACCAAATCATTCTTTATTTTCAAAGAAAGGGCCATTATAGTCTAATGTAGGAGATGGACTGGATGCATAAGTAGCCATAATATACCAGGTAGAAGGTAAAAACATGCTCTAAGAAGGGCATATACACAGGACAAAAAGAATTGAAAGGAAGGAAATGTTTTTTCGGACAGGAAAATAGAAGATTTCATAAGGGTTTGGCATTTTGGTTTTGGATCTTGAGGGACTGGGGAGGACCAGAAGCCAGGACAGACAAGAATGGTGGGGACAAAGGCACTCAGAGTAGAAGTGGAGATCACGGGGTGGGAGTGGGGTGGGGGTGTGGGGGTGTGTGGACACAGAGCAGCTCAGAAAAGCACCATGCAGAATGGAAGAAAGTGAAGCTAGAAAGGCAAGGCGTGTCAGATTAGAGTGAGCCTGAACACTGGAATAACAACTTAGCATTAATTAGGAACTATTAACTCAGAAAGGCCTAGAGGATACCTAAGCAATAAGGTATTCTCTGCACAAACTGACTGATTATACAAATATATACTTAGTAACATTACCTAGATTCAATGGGGGTCAACATAGTGTAATTTAATTCAGGAAATGAAGTTATGATCTGTCTTTTCATTGGGATGAGGAGTATCAAATGCATTTTAAGTAGTACCAAAAAAAATCCTGAATGAAATGTAACTAAAACTACAATCTGTGTGCACAGTCATCCTCGTCATAAAATGGAAGGCAGAAGAGAAATCTAATTGTGACTCGAAACTGAGAAAGTCCTCAAATGCGCAGGTGCTGGTTTTATAACCTGCTGTAAGGTTTTTAAGTTATTGTCTGGATACACTGAAAAACAGAATAACAATTATCCAGTTAATTTGCCAATTAGCAGCCAGGCAATCAAGTGACGCAGTGAAAAGGGAAACGCTTTATTTGGCCAGCAGGTGGCACTTGTCACTCAGTATAGAAACGGCTTGTAATGAGGAATGTAGCCGAGTGGAGTCAGGCACAGATTACTCCGTCTATTCAGAAAAAGAAAGATTGGAATGTGTCCTTCAGCAGCACAACCCATAATGAGGGTCTTGACTTGTCGACACAGCTTATCAATTGCATGAGGGCAGCCCTTTACTCTATGAAAGGCACCACAGGTGATAGCTCTTGAGTCTGCCCTCTCCTGTTAGGTTTACTGAACTTGGCTATTTCCTTTAACAAATACAATTTGCAATAAATTAGTTTGTTGCTTTGTAAATATTCTTATGTCCTTTTGTCTGAATTTATCCTGTGAGACTAGGAACAAATTGGGCTGGAATGAGGCAAAAAAAAAAAAAGGGAAACAAATCCTAAATTTGCGTTTAGGGGGTACTGGTGGAAGTCAGACTTTGTCCCTACACCTGGGTGAGATGTGTGCAAGCTGTGACTCCCATTACAATAGTACCATTCCTCTCATCACTCTACTCTCCCGAGTATTGGTAACACAACACCTAGAACCACAAAGCCTGAGATCCAGAAAGATGTTGGATTTACCTAACCCCGCCTTTATTTTCCAAATCAGGATGCCAGCTGCCATCAGAGCTGAAATGTAAGAGGGTATGAAATAAAGTGAGCAGGTTTAAGTCATTTCTGTTGCTTGTTCCCCAGCTGGTAGTGGGAGGCAGGAAGAGAGAAGTGGAGGTGGGCAAAACATACATGGCATAAAACTTATGGTCTCCTGATTTGAGAGAATGGGCAATAAACACAGTGGATCACAGTGATAAGCTAGGTTGATCTTCCAGAGGCATCTCGTCCACACTTGAACCTGTCTACACTGCACCTGAACAGAACCAGAGCCCTGCTTTTCTGGCGTCCCCACCTGTTCTTAGATCACATCCTAAGAACACTTCTCCTGAATGACAGTCAGAAACATGGTAAATCCACACACGGCATCAGATAATTGTGAGTCCTCTTGCTAGCATCAGGTGGATAGCATCAAAATGGAGTTTTTGAACAGTTTGATGGATTATTTTTGTGAAGGGGAACTAAGGTGACCTTTCAGAATCTCCTATTCAGCAATGACCATATTTAATAAAGAATTGCATTGTTTTAAAAAGACTGATCCACCACATAAGTACTGGGTTTATTTTTAAAACACTTAAGCTTGGCAGGTAATTTGAAAGGTTGGTTCCATGAAGGAAAAAAATCAGTGCTCATTTACAAGATTTTCTTTATGTTGTTGTCAACTGGAAAGCTCAGTCCATTTCCCTCTATTTACCCCAAATAGACTCAAGGCATAAGTTCCTGTCCATCTCCTCTATGGAACTTTCTTTGACAGCACCCTTACTATCTTATAACAAATTTCTATTACAGTGTCGGGTATGACCAGACAAGTATGGAATTAAGATTGCCTTATTAGTGATTACTATTTTTTAAACTTCTTTGAGGTTGGTATATTGTCCGGATGTGTGTTTTACCTATGTGCCAGGCATTGTTTTAGGTAACACAGAATCTCAGTAAGTATAGCTGAGACTATCCCTGTTCTCAAGGTACAATCTGATATTAGGGTTACTCTGAATTCCCCACAATGTCTTGCCTGGAACAGCCTAAAGGACAAGTTTGTATTCAGTGACCACCTCAAAATTGGTTGATTGCCTATGGGTAAGTTACTTAAGGGCAATGATTATGAGAAAGTAAAGATTTTAGGGCTATTTTCACAAATGGATCTTGTGAAATTTTTTATTCACAAAAGGAAAAGGAAGGATAGTGAGGATTCTTATGTCCTCTGAACTAATGCCAGTAGATTTCTACATAAGTACTGTTCAACTTCTTTGTTACATTTGAAACAAACTGAATCTATAACCCTGGCTTACATTTTTACTGAAAAATCTACTATCAAGAAAGACTGAGCGGAACTGAAGGCCCAAATCTGTTATTCCATCAGCTGCCATCAAAATTTCTACCTCAATGATAAATAAAACATTCAAACCTTAACAAACAAGCTAATTAAGTCTTCATGATTGACACTATTAATATCCAAGGATCTGCTCTGACCTCTTGAGGAAAGGAAAAAACAAAATCCAGAGACAGCCAAAAAGTAAAATCAATTCTGGATATGCTGCATGCCTTTACAAAGCTGCAAGGAGTGCTAAGCAACACAAGAAACTACACATAAGTAAGATGTTCCAGAATGGGAAGATCTGAATTGAGCTACTTGCTTATTTATTACAATAATCTCAGGCTGTAATAACTTTACCTCTGACTTCTGTTACCAAACCAATGACTAGAAATTCCACTTTGTATAGAAAGATTAGCTATTGTCTGGATATGCGAGTGCTCAGAAAATGTTTCCAAAGAGGTTCTCAGGATCTTTCCAAGACAGACCAAAATCCCTGCTAAAGGAGGGTCAGGTGTGTCTGTCATCTCAGGCTGTGTCTGACCTGCACTTCAGATCTCTCACCAGGTGTAAGAGATATGAAGGTAAAACTCTTTACCTTGGAAGAGTCCAGAAAGACTGGGGGTCTTGACTCCAGCTCCATCACAGAATTTTCTATTCTAATGAGCCTTTTATTTCCTGACCTCTACAGAGGAGTCAACACATTTGGACATATGCTGCTGACCATCTCAAGTGCTATTTGAAAAAGCTGACAGGCTATACATAATAAAGTTGAAAATACTGAATTTGGATGCTAACTCTTTAAAATAAACAGAGACATAATTACTTTACTAAGAAAATAAAACAATTTTTCTACATGTCACCAGAAACTATTACGCTTATCCATGTTTATTAATACTAATGTTTTATTTATTGAGTTTTCTTAACAAATAAATATGACTTTGACTTTCTGTGTTAATAGGATAATACTGTTTAAAAAAGCTCTTTACCTAAAAATGTCCACCCTCAGGAAAGAATCCTAATGAATCAGAAATAGCCTAACCTTTGGAATCATATAGATTCATATCCCCATCTTGACCAGGTGACCTTGGACATGCTGGCTGAACTCTATGAAACTTCACCTGCAGCTGCAAAGTAAAAATAAATGTTCCTGCTCCTCACAGGCATTGTTGTTGTGTAGAGAAGCTTAGGTATCACATGTGCAAAGTTTTTTTTTTTAATATATATAGAACTCTCTACCTTTCTTTGGACTCACTCTCTGGAATAGTTCTTAGATCAAAAATTAAAATAAAATAACAAAAGGAAGAAAAAAAGAGCCTACACATTTTTCTTGAATAAACCACATTAGTCAATTTGCACATATGAAACCAACAGCTCAGAGTCACACTTGAATTTGTAAAGAGTTAATTACAGCTCACCTGTGACTGCTGTTCTGCCAGTTTATTTTGATACCTTAGGACCGACTCTCTAAGTTGCTTCTCTTTCTCATTTTTTGATGGTAATACTGTGCTCATGGTGCCCAGGGGGATGGAAGGCAGACGTTCTACCTGCCGACAACTTCAGAATCAACAAGTAAAAGATTAACATCAGGAGGAAATGCAAAGCTATCTATTGTCTGTGAAAGATGGTTTACTTCAGCAAGGAATTATATTTTCTGTCTTGTCTTCAAAGATCAAATGCAAACAAAGATCATTATATTGACGACTTTAGGTAACACAGGACCTTATATTTCCAATTCACATGGAAAAAAGCTAAATGGAAAAGGAGGAGGGTAGCATATATTTAGGAAGATGGGAGACTATTCATTATTTTGCTAATGCTTCATTTATCCCACAGTATTATGAAATGAGGGCTTTTACAAAAACGTTTTTTGGATCATTGAGCTTTATCTCATTACTGCCAAACACTTCCCCCACCCCCGCAAAAAATCAAGGGTAGAAATATATATCTCTCTCTAAAATATATCAATTAATTATGCCTATGAAACACACGAATCCTTTGTTTGGTGACTCAGGATCACTGAGAAGACCTGTGACGCAGTATGAGGTGTTAGTCTGGGCAGGGCGGGGTGTGGGGGTGTCTTGAGATTTTAGACCTGTCACCAAATGGCTCCGATGTCTGACTACAGCATGCTTCCCTAACACTCTGCTGCTGTCAGTGTCTGCACTTGGTAGTCACCCTACCTCCCAGCCTCTGTACTAGACTCAGGTAGAATTCTGTGTGTAAGTACTTTCCTCATTATGGTTACAAAAAAAAAAAAAAAAAAGAGAGAGAGAGAGAGAGACTTTGGAGACATATGTTTGGGAGGTTTGAGGCCATTTTTCCTCCTTACCTTTGCTTTGGTGACTATATTCTGGGAAACTGAGTTAGCCAAACTGTTCAAGAGACTTTATTTTGTTCACCTTGGTACCAAGGCTTGACATGGACAGCAAGTTCATTTCCCACTGGACACAGGGCTGACTCAGGGCATAGCAGGGAGGAGCAGGAGGAGGGTGAAATGCTGAGGTCAGGTCTTGGTCAAGTTCTAGGTTAAGGAGTTTTCTATTATTGATAGGTGAGAGGTGGTAGGAGGTTCACTTAGTTACCAAAAAGAGGAGGAAGGGTCAAAGTTTGTAGAAAAATGCATGTATGTTAGGCTAGGAGAGGAAGAAGATGGTGAGAAAAGGAAGAAGGCCTTTCATCTAAAACAGTGAAGCAAATGAAAACTGCCATTTCTCTGTTTTTCTGGGCTACAGCATATATTTTTCTTGCCCTCTACCAACAGAGAAGAGTGAGAAACGACAATCAAATTCACGCACTACTGTGAAAAAAAAAACAAACACTTAGTTCCACCCACATATGGTGTTTGCTATTATTGTTACTTTCAAAGAAAGGTGCTAGGTAAACAAATTCTAGGGACAACTACTATATATACTGCCACCCATAGTTTGGATTTGAAGACATCTGTGGGGTGGTACTTACATAAGCTTCTATTTCATTTGAGAAAAGAACCTTGCAGCAACAGCAAGTTTTAATTCATTAAAGAAAAACCTCAAGTATTTTATTAAAATTAAGCCCATTCAATTGTCTTCATTTAAAATTTATTTTTGAAAATAATACAATTTGGATATGCAATACAACCCACAGATGTTTTTTTAACATCCTTTTCAAAATTGAGACTTTTTTTGATTCAGCCAAGCAAAAGGCATCATTTTTACCCTGCTGGTAAAATGATTCCTATTTTCAATGCAGATAAATGCATAGCATGAACGTAATGGAAGTGTACTGATACCTATTTCTCAGGCACTGTGATAACAATCAATACCCAGCCTTCCTCTGTGCTCAAAGTAGAAAACAAAATGAGGCTTTGGTGGTTTGAAAAAGAATGTCTCCGTTTTACCCTGTCCAGGTTATTGACCCTGAATACTACCACTTGTAAAAATGGTGTATTTTGGTCACTAGAAAGTATTTAAATGGAACTGGGCTTCCTGAAATGTAAAAGGATGCTTTCTGAGAGAGACTGGTAAGGCAGAAAGAGTATAGATTCTGCATCGGAACATTGGCTTCCAGTTCAGCGCTAAAGAGGAATCCTGGGCCAGGCACTGAACCTTTCTCAGCACACCTGTTTTCTTCTCTGAGAAAGGGGGAAAGTTCATAGAACTTATAAAAGAACTTATTCTGTTTCTGATCCAAGTTCTGTTCCAACAATATGGACGTTGTTTATTCAAATGCTCTTTATTGCCACCGAGCCTGTGACGAGTGGCAATTAACTACTGACAACAAGCTATATTTTCTGTAAATACAGACAATGCCACTTTTCACCTCATTACTCTGTTCCTGTACTCATACAATGTTGTCTAATAAACAGCTTTATTTCACTCCTCATCAATTTAATGCACTTATTTTACATGATCTATTCAAATCTAATGGTACATATGACTCAGGGAATATTTCAAGGCATACCTTAGCAGGAGCAAGGCTCAGTCTACCATATTGAAATAGAGGACTGAGGGAACCAGACAAATTTCTTTCTCCCCAAGAGACATTTAAGTGCTCTCAATTAACTTCAAAAGTAATTTTGAAAAAGATGTTTAAAAATATGTATGGGTTGTATTGTATACTAAAATTTCATTATATCCCCAAATCTTTGAATGAATACAATGGAATCGAATCAGTTTTTCTTTACATCTCCCCTAAATCTCCTCTGCCACTTTATGAATATTTCTATCACAGTCTTCAGTGGAAATGAAATACAGATGGTCAATATTATGTTGGTGTATTTAAAGAAACAAGAACTTTAAAAATTATAAACACTTTTGCATTTTATATATTTTAAAGTCTGTTAAGTTTTCTGTCAACACAACTAAATTTGTCTTGCCTCTCTCTTCACAAGTGGTGTTATTCTGATGTGTAAGAGACAATTAATGTAGCTTTGAAACTTATTCTACAAAGTTCTGCAGTGGTATTCCTACATTTCAAAGAAGAGGATGAGAATGAGTCAATTCAGGGACCATGGTAAACGGTAAATAAAGGAAGCTGTAAAGGACTGTTCGGTGAGGCTGACACCCCAGATTGGTCAAAGTCACAGCTATGGGGTTAAATCTGTGGGAGTAGCCTCAATCTCGGCCGTCTGTTATCAAGCCCCTCTCCAACTCCCCTGCAAAAGGCCAGGAACGTTCTGTAGATTGTCCTGATAAGTGAATCACAGGACTTGGAGAAAATGCACTGAGATTCTTTATTATATCCCATTCTAAGAAAGAGGAAGCCAAGGTAAAGAGAGGTTCGTTATCTCATTTGATCAGGTTTCATGAGCCAGTGGAGCTCGGAGTCAAACCCTGGGCAGTCTGGCCCCAGAGTTTGGACTCTAAATATAATCGTAGGCTCTGGGAAAAGTTCTTAGCTCATGGTAAGTGATTAATATCATTAATTATTCTAAATACTGAAACTGAGCCAATGCTGTGTTGTTATTTAGGAGACATTTAAGTGCCAAGTTAGGGATGGACTCAAGTTGATGGTCAAGTTGATGGTGATCCTGGTCACCTTCCTTAGGGGGATGCACACTCAGAGTAGAATAATAGTCAAAGGATCCTGGTCAGGGCTCATGAATAGCTGTCTTAGTCACAGGTTTGGGCTTTGATTCTGATGTTTCTCAATGAAGAAGTGAAACTAGATGTGTGTCTCAGAGTTGTGTTCCCTGGAGCACTCAGCCTTCTGTAGAGAGTAGGGGACAGAAATGGGAAGTGGCTACCTCTGGTCCTCAGTTTCCAGCCTCCCATTCAACTAGTTCTGCATCTATCTGTTGTATGTATTTCAGTTCTGTGACAAATTTTACTTGGGAAAACACAGGTCATGTTTCAAAACAAGAAAGGGAGAGTGAAAAACCTCCAGGTCATGTGAAATATAAAAGCCCTTATACCCCCTGACATTTTCCTTCATTCTGTAAACATGACGAACCTGGAGACTCTAGGCAGAAAGGGTTTAACAGCAGTTTCTAAATATGTACTATTTTTAAAAAACATTTGCTCTTTTTCTCAGAGCTGGATAAAAATAACCAAACAGGAATTATTACCCTAATGTCTAAATTAGCAATATTGATCCACTTAGGTGGACTTAACTGTGTGGAAGCAATGTTTGAGTTAGGGGTGCCTTTGTTAAAGGGGAGTACTAGTTCTTTTCTCCCCTAGGGAAAGAATATTAATCTAAAAGGGCTTGTAATAACATTGACATTCATCAATATTTAATCAGTCTTTTTCCTGTTTTAGTCTAAACTTCTTTCTCTAAGAGCATGAAGCAATGAAATCAATATACGACTTAAATAGGAAAGGCACATGGTCTATCAGTTTAATGCCCCTGGATACACACCCTGGGTCAGACTCCTGTAAGATCAGGTTGTATGCTGTGTGGGAAATGAACTGGAAGGCAGAACTCAGGAGCCTGTAGCCTCTGCCTGTGGAAGTGCAGAACTGCACGCCCGACACGTGCAGATTGCCACATCCAGATCGCTTTCATCCAGTAGAAAAGCACACTAACAAAATAATCTTTTCACAAGTAGCAAGGGGCTAGAAAGAGTTCAACTAGAGACCAGCTACTAAGCTAAAATCTATCACTGACATTTTCCAGTTTCATAATGTGGACTTCAGGAAATAAGCAGGGACAAAGAATTTTTTTTAAAAAACTACCTGTTTTCCAAGAGGTTAGGATTATTAGCACAAATCCACATGTCATGAAATTCTTTTTCCTGATAATTCATAGAGGAAGGCAAGACTCTCCATTTAAGGCAAAGATCTGATAAGCAAAACAAAATCACACACACAAGAGACCATATCAGAAATGAATCTGTCACAGAAATCTGTCAAGTTTACATCCACCAAAGTAGAGAATCCTTCATCTCACATCACTTTGCTTGATGAATTCTATGAGTTACTTTAAGCTGCTATCAAGAAATGTAGTTGTTACTATTTATACTATGGCTTCAATTCTTTCCAGTTGGATTCTGCTACTTTTAGCCAGAAGACCCTTAATAGATTCCACTCTACCTCTTCTTAAACCACATTATGAATCCCAGTGACCCTGACTCTCCCATTTCCTCTGGCCTCTTCCTCAATTGTTGACACCACCACTTGCTGTCGCCAACCACAAGACTAACAAAGGAAAATCAAGGCCTCTAAGTCATTTATGCATTTTCTTCTTCTGTACTTTCCTTTGTTCTTATTCCAGTCTCAGTATGAAGTTTCTGATTGTCCATTTCCCCTAACAGACCCTGTTGGCCTGTAGGCCAGGGTACATCACTCTCTCTAGGTTACACTTAAATCTAATCTGGATTCCCTCTTGACACAGTGCTACTTGCTATTGGGTTAATAACCTGTCTTTGTTCATCTACAACAGGGACAGTTTGCATGGTGGTTTAAAACCTGAATAGCTCCAGCTCTTACTACTTCTATGATCTTGGACAAATGACTTAACTTCTCTATGTTCAGTATGGTGGTCTGTGAAAAGGATTAACATTAGCACCTATCTATAAAGGTTATTAAAGGTTAAATGGCATAATGATGTTGATGATAAAAGTTGACATTGCTAAAGACCTTCCTAAGGGTTAGGAAACTTCACACTTATTAATGCACAATATTCTCACAACACCTCCACAATGGAACTACAAGTACTAGTCTCATTCTATAAATGAAGAAACTGAGCCTTTGAGAGGACAAATATTTTTCCCTGTTGCATCTAGCCCTCAGGTACTACAGTAAAATTCTAACAGTATCTGGCACATCAAAACTATATAAAGTAATTATTAGCCATTATTATATTCTGATAGGTTGTCAGATACTTTCATTGATTTCCTCAGACCTTCTAAATATCTGTTTCATGTGTTCCTCTAAAGTCTTATTGCCACACACTAGTTCGGACATTTACAATTTCTCATATGGATCTTAGATTGCAAAAGATCCTCAGAGGTGTGACTCCTCCCTTTGTCTGACCCTCCACAAATCACCCTTCACTGAGGTGACTTACATACAAGTTTCACCTTGCTAGATGGGTCCACCTAGGCAAAGGATTGGGGAGGTGCCCCTGGCACTGTGTCAAGACTTCTATGAAGTTTTACATGCTATAGGGGTCTTTAGTGTTTGCTTGTCTATTTTCTCTATTGGACTATTTGCCAAAGAACATAAACTGTCCTCAATTCCATAACACTTTGTTCATAGCTAGAAAGCAGACCAAGTGCTCAGTGAAAATTTCTTCCATTGAAAAATCAATGCTTCCATTGAAAAATGCCCAATACTTCCTTATTACTTATTAAAATTAAAACTTATCCTAGAATTCAGGGCCCTATAACATGTTATCCAACATAATATTTTTGTATTTGATTATTTAGTCATTATTTATGCATTAAGCTGACAATTACAAAGTCCTTGTGAATTAGACTGAGTACTACATATTAAAAATAGAAAAATGGATGTTTCTATGACTCCACTATAAATATTCAAGCTGAGATGTATACCTGATACTAATTCCTGTCTATGGTGAAGGAGGAAGTGCCCAGCCAGGGAGAAGTCTTGGAGCTGAGGCCAGCAAGGCACTGGTATTGTCTTGCTTGATCTAGTTGAGGTTTAAGACCCAACTGTCCAACTGACTTTTCCCCTACTACAATTATTTTAACCTCTCTTCTAGACTGTAACCTCCCTGAAAGCAAAGACCATGGCTTACCCATCTTCATCTCCCTAATCCACCATTTCTTAACACCATGACTTGCGTATTTAGACATTCGTTAGTATTTGGTAACTAGAATGGAATTATATACATACCACACTGTACCATGAATGGGATGGCCATGGCTTGTCTTCTTTGATACTGAAGAGAATCTAAAGATGTCTCCATGTCCTTGCTATGTTGGTATCCAAATTCATTCCAAAATGACGTTAGATTTCTGTTACCTAAAACAAAGAAAGCAGGCAAAGAATAATGAAAGAAAATAAAATCAACATTATCAAGATGTTTGGATATAAATACATATGATCTCAGCTGTGTGAAAACATATACAGGCAAAAATATCATATACTAATAGTGGTTCTCTAAGTGGTGATATTATAGATGAAATGTTTTCTAATTTATACTTTTTTGAATTTTTTAAATTACTTGCAACGAAAGTGCACTATCTTTACAATAAAACTAAAGACAATAGCAGTTACAATTTTTTTACTTAAAAAATTACAATTCAGCATATTGACATTTAAAGTATTATTCTTAGGCATTCCCAGGAAGGAATGTACTAATTAAATTTTAAGGGCCACTTTTAAAATTATTGATACAAATATTTATTATTCCCATCACAGAGCCAGAGTTTCTTTATCTTTTATTAACTCTGGTTCCTTTTCTTTTCAGTCTGCATTATTTGTGCCCTACCCTAGTCCCAAACTCTATATACCCTCCTTGCTTAGAAACATCACACTTTACAGAAGACCATTGTAGAGACCTCTTTGAGAAGCTGTGCTCTTATCCTTTGATCTAACAAGTGTATAGTTAGGAATATATTACAACATTGTTTGGGGAAAAACTAGAAATATTATAAAAGCCTATGAATAGAGAACTGATAAGTTCCATTTCCAAACAATGGAACACTGGGCACCCTTTAATAAGAGGAAGATAGAAATATGTGTAGTACTGCACCAAAAGCTTCCAGATACAGTTTAAAATTTTTAAAACAGATATAAAACACTATTCCCAACATAATAAACTTTTTTAACTCATGGAAAGCATATACAAACTGGGTCTGGTGGTACACGCCTGTAATCCCAGCAACTTGGGAGGCTGAAGCAGGAGGATCCCAAGTTTGAGGCCAGTCTGGGCAACAAAGTGAAACCCTGTCTCAAAATGAAAAATAAGTACTGGGATACTGTGGTAAAGCACCCATGGATTCAATCCCCTGTGTGTGTGTGTGCGTGTGTGTGTGTGTGTGTGTACAAACACACACATAGATAAAGCATATACATAAAAAATTGTTATGAATATACTTTTCCTAAAGAGATACAAAAGAAAGTTTCTTTTATTAGTGCATTAATTATACATGATAGTGGAATTCATTGTTATACAGTCACATATGCACCTGATATACAAAAGAAAGTTTTAATAGTAGATATCATTAGAGAAAAAAAAAAAAGAAGAAGAAGCTAAGAGAAGTCAAGGGAAAAAACTTTTACTTTTCACTTTTTTGAATATTTTCAGTATTTTTACATGTGCATGTATTACTTGGAAAAGCTTCCCTCCCCTCTTTTTTTTAAGACAAAGAGAATCCATTTTTGCTGACCTATCCAATATGGTAACCACTAACCACAAAGCCATGTGGCTACCGAGCTCTTGAAATGTGACAGATACAGAACATTTTCATCAATGTCCAAATTTCAAAAATGTGTTCTGAAAGGCAAACCTAGAAATACATAAAATTGTGTCACCATTGAAATACTTTGATATATGGCTGTGTAATTCATGCAAAACACAAATAAGTGACCTTCCTATTCCTGCTAAAATTCAGGCCCAGAATGCTATGTACTTTTAAGACCAGTAGAGGAAAATCTCAGCTTTAAATGGACATACTTATTGGGCTGGACTGAAAACAAATCTCATAAATTTCTTCTGGTCTTGTCTCCTTAGAGAATTCCAAGCTGCTCTTGCCCCCAAATTCTCCTTTGTATTCTGCTTTTTCTGCTTTCAGTTCCAACTCTCAGTTTCAGCTCTTGGCTCAGTATTTAGTTTTAGTCCACCTCACACTTCACCTCTCTGCACAGTAGATCCTGGTGCACTACTCTGGAATCTGAGGCTCTGCTTCCCTGACTTCCATATTAACCCTTGGTCTTTACTACATCAAGGCAGGGGTTCTACCGAGTTAAAAGACATATGGAAATGAGTGTTGGCTCTGTCAGGCATTAGTTGTAGTGGGCAAGCCACCAAGTTTTATTACCCATAAAGTGAGTGATGACAAGAACTTGACTTACAGGATCAACATCATTATAGATTAAATATGAAGGCACTTTAAAAAACAGAACCTCGAGGATTCTGGGAGTAAGAGACACCAGAGGGGCTGGGGATGTGGCTCAAGCGGTAGCGCGCTCGCCTGGCATGCGTGCGACCCAGGTTCGATCCTCAGCACCACATACAAACAAAGATGTTGTGTCCACAAAAAACTAAAAAATAAATATTAAAAAAAATTCTCTCTCTCTCTCTCACTCTCTCTTTAAAAAAAAAAAAAAGAGAGACACCAGAAATCTGTTTCACCACCTAGATAAAAAGTGAATGAACAGAACTTAATATAATTGTTTTGGAATTCTGGAGTTTACATCTCGAGCTACACAGAGATTGTCTATAATATTTTTTTAAAATAACAACAAAAAAGCAAACATTAGTATGGAATAGCGAGAATCTGATTTCCAGAGTTACAACTTATCAGATTCAAAGTACAGCTTACAAATAACAGCAAAAAACACACAAGGTATTTGAGGGAAATAGAGTTCATTCAAAAGGAAAAACAATAAACCAACAGAAACTGTGTCTGAAAAAGAAATAATGGCAGATCTACCACACAAAGTCTTTAAAACAATAATCTTAAAAACGTTAGGAAATTAAAAAAGAAAAGAAAAAAGAAAAAAAGAACTAGAGAAAATCATGGTAAATGTATGTGTGTAGTGTGTGTGTATATATATACACACACATACATACAGAGAGAGAGAGAGAGAAAGAGAGAGAGAGAGAGTAGAATACCAATAAAGAAATAGAAGACTTAAAAAATCAGAAAGAAATTCTGGAGCAAAAAATATACAATAAGTGAAATGAAAAAAATTCACTGACAGGATTCAAATGCATATTTATTGGCAAAAGAACCAATAAATTTGAAGAAAATATAATAAAAAGAACAACTGAAGAAAAGAGAACAGAGTCCAAGGGACCAAGAAGATTTTATCAAGGGAACCAACATATGCCTTGTCTCAATAACCACCAAAGGAGAAGAGAGAAAATTAAGAGACAGAGATTACTTAAAGAAACAATGGTTGAAATGTACCACATTTGATTAAAAACATAAACATTCAAGTAACTTAAACAACTCCAAGTATGGTAAAGTCAAAGAGACTCAGATCAAGACACATTATAATTAAACTGTTGAAAGGTGAAGAGAAAAAGAATTTTGAAAACAAAGAGAAAAATAATTCATTCCATACAGGAGATGCTCAATAAGGTTATCAGCAGATTTCTCGTCAGAAACCTTAGAGGTTAGAAAGCAGTGATCCAGTATTCAAAGTCGCTCAAACAAAATAAACATCCAAAAAAGAATCCTATTTCTGGCAAAAAAAAAAAAAAATCCTTCAAAAGTGAGAGAGAAATTAAGGCATTCATAAATAGATAAACAAAAGCTGAGAGATTTCATTACCACTATACCTGTCCTACAAGAAATGCTAATGGGAGCTACTGAGAGTCCTGCAGGTTGAAATGAAAGGATACATGATAATAACTAGAAACTGTCTAAAGAAATACAGATATAATTAAAGGTAAATACATAGGAATTATAAAACCTAGTAGTATTGTTGCAATTGTGTAAAACTATACTTTTTTCCTCTACAGAATTTAAAAGACTAATGCATTAAAAGATTATTATTTCATGCTTTTTATAGACAGTGTATAAATGTATCATTTTGTGACACAACCGAAAAGGGTGGAAGAGCTTTTCAAGGAGACCTTTTTATGTTATTGAAGTTAAGCTGATATAAATTCAAATTAGAAGTTCTAACTTTAGTGTGTTAAATGTGATACCCACAAAAGAAATGGCTGAAGAATAGATACAATAAGAGATGAAAAAGGAATTTAAATGTTTTGCTACAAAAAAAAATCAACTAGACACAAAAGAAACAGTAATGCAGGAAATGAGAAACAAAAAAGCTGTAAAGCACATAGAAAACAATTAGTAACATGATCAAAGTGCTTATCAGTAATTATTTTGAATATAAATGGAATGAACTCACCATTCAAAAGGTAGATTAGCAGAATGGATTAAAAATGATCCCAGTTTATGCTGTCTAGGCACAAATTATTTGCAAATGAGATGATGAAACAAGGTATTTCTTGCAAAAAGTAACCAAAATACAACAAGGGTGGGGGGGCTATGCTAATAACAGGCAAAACAAACTTCAAATAAAAAATCATTATAAGAGACAATGAAGGATGTTATATTTAATCAAAGGTTCACTATAGCAAGAAGATCAAACAAATATAAACATTTATACACCTAGGAAGAAAAATTTGACAAAACTGGAGTGAGAAACAGTTTTACAATAGTAAATGGAGATTTCAATAACTTACTCTCAATATGGATAGAAAAATGAGACAGAAAATAAGTAAGAGTAAGAAGACAGGGGAATTAAACAGGACAATGAACTGACCAGATCTAAAAATTAAGAGTTGATAGATTTAAAAATATATAAAAAGCCTGCATTAATGCTAACATTACTGTTATGTCTAAAAAATGAATCTCCTCTGATAAATCACTTTGTCAGTTTTCATGTATCAAACTTAAATAAAAATTCAATTGGTCACTAATTTTATTGTTGAAAATATTATTTTCAAAATCTTGAGAAGCAACACCAGCGAGTTTGTGGGCATGTGCGGTTGCACTCTCTCTCTCTCTCTTCCCCTACATGTATGTGCACAAGAAAACAGCTCCTGAGAGTAGCTACAAACCTCCAAAAGAGGCCTTGGAGTGAATTCTACCTTGCCAGCATCTTTTTTAAAATTTTATTTGTTCTAATTAGTTGTACATGACAGCAGAATACGTTTCAATTCATGTACACAACTGGAGCACAACTTTTCATTTCTCTGGTTGTACCTGATATAGAGTCGCACCATTTGTGCAATCATATATGTACTTAGGATAAGGATGTTCTCTTATTCCACC